TCAAGCAAAAGCCTCAATTGTAAATTCAAATTTGCAAAAGTTTTCAACCGAATCACTTCTAATTTTTCTTCTTCCGCCTGCTCGAGACTTCCATTGAAATTTGTGCCTTGGCAAAGGTGAAATATGCACCTGCTAATTTATAGGGACAGGCGCGAAGTTCGACAATAATTGAGCGCAAATTGCGGCGCATAATAAAGTTGTTGCGTTCGCAAAAAAAATAAGTGAAATGTATCACTTTTTTTTTTTTTGGAGGGGAAAATATTACATAGAATAGCAAGTGTAACCAGAGTCGTGGGCCATTAATCAAGCAAAGTTGCAAAATAGAAGGCAGAAGCCGGCATGTAGGCGCAAATGAGGTGTATGAATCAAAAGCCAGCACAATGAAAAGTTTCCAAAACATTTTTCACAACCAAATGACTGCAGCAGCGGCGACAAGGTCGCTTGCCGGAACTGATAACAAAAGCCGCTGACACTTGACAAAGTTGCGCATTGCCAGCGAGAGAGAGAGAGAGAGAGAGGGAGGGAGAGAGAGCGGGAGCGAAAAGTGTAAGGGAAACGAAAATGAAAAGCATGAAAAAACAGCGTGAACATGCAGCGCCACCTGGCGGCGTGTCCAGTTGACAGCGCAGATAAGCAAATGCCAGCCACAGCCGTCGCTCCTACAGCTCTCTCCCCTTCTCTCTCTCTCACTCTCTCTCTCTCTCTCTCTCTGTCTCTGCTTTAAGCTCACAACTGAACTTAACTCAATTTTCGTTCGGCTCACAGCTGGCATTTGTCATTTGGTGGCATATTCTGTTTTTAATTAATTCCTCTTTTTGGCTTTTCAATATATATATGTATATAATTCTCTGTTTCTCTGCTCTGTTTCTCCGCTTGCAGGGGCAATGTGCGCGCTTTGTGGATGGGCGTGCTCTGGGCTCTAACATCTGGCACTGGGGTGGCCGTCGCCCTGCTCCAGGGTTCTGCGGGGCCGCTGATTGGCGTTGCCATATCAGCCTCATTGCTGCCCCCCGTTGTTAACTGCGTAAGTATTCGAGTGTCGCAACTAAATTGTAAGGTTAGGCATGACTATATAGATATCCTGCAAAACCAAAATATGTGTGGATGGGTAGAGGCTCATATGACTTTATATTATTCTTATTATTGTTATTATATTGCTATTAGCCAAATGTTAATCTATTTCTTATTGCCCATGAAGAGATTCATACGATAGAATATACTACACCTAGTCACCTCTAAATTGTAACGAACATCAGCCGTTTAAGGCATGTTAGATATCTTGCAATGCTTAAAGCTTCAAGCTAGACAGACCCTCGTGGATTTGGTAATATGTTCCTTGTTAGTCGTTAATAGAAACCAACAATTAGAGTATATATTGAGTTCATTGAAGTTGGGAATCCGACGCGTATTTCTTTTATGAAAATTTGCATATATGTACATGTATGCAGGCCTAGAAAACTCCATATTATATACATACATAATGATATTCATATATACCTTAAACAGTAAGAGTTCTTTAGTTTAGATTAAAATTCATTAATTGATTTTATTTTTAAGGCGTAACTTGAGTAGCACAAGGGGTGGAGATTTGCTTGTATTCTTTGCTATCATTAATGCATGGATTTGAGGTATATCAGGTTTCATATGTGCTCACCTGCTGCCCGCAAATTTGCAAGAAGAAAAAAAAATCAAATAGAAACTGAAACTTCAGAAAATACTGAACATTTACGTGTCCTTAATATATGCAAACATGTTTTGTTATTTTATGCATAGACAACATGGAATAATTGAAGTAAAGCTCTGCACAAGGCTATGAGGGTATCTCTTAGTCGTTCAAATGTAGATCGCAGGTATACTCTTCATTGATTTATTTTAATTATTGGGTATTTTGTCGTGCGATTCTCAAGCTCAAGTTGCAGGGTATTAAATCGCATGTAAATCGAAATTGAGTAAGGAAATGTAGACATTGCTCTTTAAATGGCTGAGAATATGCATAAAATATTTTTAATTGGTAAACTGATGCTGGAGAACAGGAGATTTTATAGGGAAGTCTTCGCATTTGATACCAATAGCAACAAATAATTTCACTTAAATTATATTTATGCTTGGGTAAAATACAATTATCAGCTGCTTTCTAAAGATTGGCGAATTTATACATAAATATATAAATATATAATATAAAGAGTGAAAATATATTTTTGTATATTTTTATTTATTTGTTTTTAATACATTGAGCTAGCAGCTGTTTGTTTGGAGTTTTGATTTAGACAAACTTTCTTTAGAGCAATGCTTGCCAGATGTTTAAATATTTAATTTATAAATTTCTTTTTGTATAACTAAAATTGTTATTTATAATTCAAAAACTATGCAAATATTGGCAACAAATTGCTCGCAAATTTTGCTATACTTGATGAGCCCAAAAAGAGCAATACTCATATAGTTAGTTAGTTATAGAGTTAGCGGTCCGAAAGGGTCTAGAGAGCATGACGACCGGGCTGACAGTTAAAGCTGGCATTGCACGCCTGAGCGGGTCAAGCACATAAATTAGCCAAATATACAATTTGCTCGATTAATCTGAAGAGCTGGGCCCAAAAAGTTTTGCTCATAAATCTGCTGCACCGATTTCCAAACTGAAACTTAGCCGCAGCTCAAGCACAGCCACTCGCTGGGGCTGTGGCTGTGGACTGCGCCCAGCTGTTTGGCTAGTGGATGGCTAGGATAGTCCCGGCAGCTAACCGCAACGAGTGCATAAATTCCGATCCAATTTTCGAGTGCGAATTGTGCGCAGCAGCAGCACGCAGTCTAGCGGATGTTGCGTTAAATTATTAAGCAAGCAAACAGAGAGGGACATAGAAAGAGTGACAAAGAGAGAGAGTGAGAGAGAGAGAGAGAGAGTAGAGAGTAATATTCCTGTGGAATATGCATGCAAAAACTTGGCACAGCGGAAACGGCAGCCCAACAGGCAAAACAAACAAACTCCCGGCGACACGAGGTTGTCTGACATTTATCAATTGTGACAGAAAGACAATGGCACAAGGCGGCAGGGCGGGGTGGGGCGGTGCGGTGCGGTGCGTCGCGGCCACAAGGCATGACAAAATGATGCAAGAGCTTGCGCTTGTGCGCCCAACTCTCCCGAATGCAAGCTCTTTGCCAGTCCTTTGCCTTACTGCGTGAGCTGAAACAATGGGAGCCGAGATCGCTTAATCATAGCGACGACTGTGGTCGAGCTTGTGTGCTAGCCCAGTTAGCCCTCGCGTTGGCCCTTTTTGTTTTTGCTGTTCTCTATTTTCTTTATTTTGTTTTTTGTTGCTTTGTTTCTCGCTGGCGGCTTATATGAGCTGCATAAATCAGATGCACGCACTAAAACTCTGACGCTGTCAGCTCTATCAGGCAGCAGTTGCACGTTTTTAACCTAAAATCTGCTAACTGCATTGCCCGAACGGCGTGCCACAATTAATTGCATGCAGCCAGGGCAACGCCGCGTATGAGCAATCGCATATATTTACTTTTCGCATTACTCATACGCAGCGCTGTCCGCCCCTAGACACACGTACGTACACGTGCATAAAAAACGACTGGCACATGAAATATATTGTGAATAATTTCAACAGCTCAGCAATAAATGCCAACAACAAAGAAAAACTTGTAGCCTTTTTTTTGCGAACTTTGCGCATTAAATATTTAAAGTTTCATAATGTTTATCAGCAAATAATTTACTCGCATATTTTGGCAATTAGCGTGCGAAATGTGCTCTCTATTGGTTTACGCGACAGTATTATTCATAATTTTATGTCTTTTAAGCTCACATTTTTGTGATTTACGCGCCGCCATTTATAATGAATAATTCTCATTGTATATGCTGGTTATTTTCACTTTTAACGGAATGTTTTCTTAGAGCCAGATTTCGGTTTCAAAGTAGAGAGAGTAGAGAGAGAGAGAGCTCTAAAGACGTCATAAATTTAAAAAAAAAAAAACTATGCCAAGTAGAGGAAAGCACATGGAAGAGCAAACACACACACACAAACAAACATAAACTCAGACACACAAACATAAACTCACACACACATACAAGCATTTTCAGTAGGCACGAACTTCCGTAGTGTGCTGAGTCATTTTAGTTTATAAGAGCGAAGCAAAAGAGCAAACAAAAATTCTTGGAAAAAAAAAACTGAGCCAAAGAGCAAACAAGACGACAATAAAGTTTGATCTAAGCCGGAGTCTGTGCGTGTGAGATTTATCACAATTCAAGGCCGGCATCCACTACTTGATATGCTTGGGGCAACAGCTGTGCTCTTTTCAATTTCAATTCGGTTGCTCGCACATACAGCGACCTTATGACCTCAACTGTCCACGCGTTTGCCCCGCCTCCTCCTCCCCACTCCGACACACCCCAACACACACACACACACACACACACTTTGATTAAGTCATGTCAGTCATACAAATGAACTTAGCCACTTAGCACACAGTCACTCTCTCTCTCTCGCCATTTTTCAGGGTTTATTCTGGTCGCAGGCCTGCATCTGGCTCATCTATCCGGAGAAGCGCATACCGCACTTGAAAAACGAGCCAATGAATAGCACCAGCGCGTATCCGTTCCTTTATACGGACTACCTGCCCACCGAGTTCCTCATCAATGGCATTGTGTCCGCCTGTTTGACGGTAGTGAATGTGATTTGCATATTTATAACGGCCATAATAGTGCTGAAAATCAAGGAAGTTTCGGCGCCATACACGGCCAGCCCGGACCTAAAGCGGTAAGTGGATTGCCAACGAGCTGCAAGTTTTCAATATCAAAGCCAGCCAGCAATATGACAGCAATAAAGTTGGACCCGCCCGTCCCACCGGCATTCGCGCTGCGAAATACGCACTGAGCTGTTCCTAATGACCGCACACTTTGCTTTCAGCTTATCACTTCCGGTCTGTGCGCTCGCCGAATGGCCAATCGGCCATTTGTGAATGTAATTAATAAGGGAAGCAACAATCGACAGACATTATGGTGTATTTTTATTTGATCCAAAAATGGGACTTGTCTATTAAAAAAATAAAGGATAAACTGAATGGTGGAATGAAAGAGCAAGATAGATTACATGCACACATCAGTTTATACTTAATAACAGACTGTGTATTATCATTATAACTAACAGCAGTGAACAGTGGAGGTCAATATGTAAAATATACATTCTGTAAATAGTCACAGTCACGTTAGCATAGGAATAGACTGCTTAATAACAGCATTGAGTAGCTCAGCTAAAGTTGTATTTAGTCTGTTAACAGACAGTCACTACAGTTTACAGTCACTGTAAACTTTAACAGATTTAGCTTAGTAATAGCCTTTTATAGCTACAGGAAACAGCATTGCGTTATGTTATGTTACACAATTTACTATTACTAGAATATGTAAAGGCATCTGTTAGGTTAACAGCGTGAATTGAAATCAAACAATTCGGACGCTGTTACTTAAGACCAGCAGACAAGATTAAAGGAGTCATTTAACAGTGTTCCTCTTCCTTATTTATTAAGTCTGCTAAGAAGCAGACTCAAAAGAAAGGCCAAGAAGTATGCTGTACGATTTAACAGCTTAGATTTGTTGCTTGATTGGCATGTAAAATATTTCCAATATTATATAGAAGTATTAGTAATACAATAGTGGCAATAGTTATATTACTAGTCGAATATTATATTTTCATTATATTCAGTTTTCATTAACATTTCAGTTTTTTTAGCAGTTCTATAACTCTAGCAATTTTCGTTTTTCAAATTGCTTGTCTGCCCTTAAGCAACGCCCACTTCGTGATATACTATCGAGGTGGTCATAACATCAAATACATATTTAATTAGCCTGAAACCCATAAGGCTCGCACATTGCTGATGACAAATCTTATAATTAACTGGCTTATTTCGTGCATTTCATGAGAAGTGCCCGGGCTAATGTTAATAAATGGATTTTGTTACGCCGCTGCCTTCTTCTTCTGCTTATAATAAATAGCCATCTAAGTCACATAGTCGCCACTGACCCCCACTTGGAGGTTGGAGACCAGACACGAGTCTGGCCTGCGCTGGCATGGTCTGGTCTGGTCTGGCTACGTGGCCTTCAATCTCATAATGTGGCGCATTAAATTACTTGAAGCGTGCACAAAACAAATTTTGTTTGCTGTTGCAGAGCTCTGTCAACACGGCTCACAGATATTATGTATGCCACAGTTTTTGTTCCACTATGCACAATGTTGCCTATTAAGGCAAACGCACGCTCGCTGGCTCAGCCACCAGGCAGCTTATGTTTATGCTATACCCTGTTGGCTGCTACATAAGCTGGGTTAGCTATGCATATTGGTAAGGATAATAAAAGAATACAAGAAGTCTAGTATAAAGATAGAGATAGGGATTAGGATATTGACAAAGGTAATGAAAGGGATCAGGATAACGATAAGGACAAAAATATGTTATAAGATTAAGAAAAGGGATGTCTATTGGGATATTGGGGGAAGGATAAATGAGACTAGGACAAAGATGAAAATTGGAATATGGATAAGGATATGGATAAAATTAAGGATATGGATATGGATAATGATAATGGATGAAGATAACAATGCGGATAAGGACAATTTCTTCACTCTTATCCCTATTCATATTATCTAATTTATCCTAATTTAAGCTTTATACTTAAAGGGATAAACATGGGGATAAGAGCTATCTATATCATTTTTATTATCTGTATGATGATCCTTAGTATTGTCACTACTGTGAACATCCCTATAACTATAATATTTTTCATAAGAGTATTCAGTTTCAACTTCACCTTAATGAAATCTATCTACAGGGTATCGCCTCGTCGAGAATCGATTTGCTCTCTTATTGTTATACTATGTTGTGTCTGTCTGCACACATTTAACAGTTGTTTATGCAATATTTGTGTTTGCTGTTGCTGCATTCAATTCGCGGCAGCCCTTTTGGTTAGGGGCCAACGCCCTCGCCCGAATAGATGTCATGGACGGGCAGCGGCTTTAGCTATTCGTTGTCCATATGGCTGCGGGCTTATGTGCAATGCAATGTTTTCCATTCCGACTCAGCAGATCTTGCAATGCGCATAAAGTGCATAGATTCGTATATTTATTTATTGAAACCTTGTTTGCTCTGCTTTGGCAAATTGCAGCTCGCTTCGCTTCCAAGGGTTTTGTTTGCTTACTTTGAATATATCCAGGGCTCGATGCCAAATGGAAGCAAATGAGCAAAGTCTTTTATTCAACATCGACTTTAACTCATCTTTAATTTGTTTTCCCTTACATTTTAATATAAAATAAGTAATTTATATTTTGTTTTGATTTGTCTTTGATGCTCGCACAGCTTTTGGGAAACAGATCTTCGGACCGTGCGCAGGACGAACCGCTCTACGATGCGCCATCGACAGGGCACGCTGCGGGGCGCTGGCGGCGGAGCTGACAAGCTGATGGGGTAAGTGCGGATGCGAGGACGGGGAAATCTTTAGTCGGGAATGCCAATTTTTTTTTTATATTTATTTTATTTCATTTTATTTTGCTTGTTTGTTGTTTATTGTTGTTGCGGTAATTGAGCGCATGTGTGATGCAGCCAGAGTGTGTGTACATGTGTGTGTGTGTGCGTATCTGCTCATGACATATCCCGAGGCCAACGCAATTTACTTTTGGCTCATTGGAATGGGAGAGCCACACGTCTCCAACCAATTTCCAGAGGTAAATAACAAACGTATTTATACTATGTCGAAAGCGTCTTGGCCCCGCCTACCTGTGCGCCCACCTGCCCACCGCTCGTATGTTGTTGTTCTTAAGGATATAAATAATTTTGATGGCGGCAAGCAAATCGGGCCACATGCAAAATATTTATCGCATAATTGAAATCATTGCGCACAAATTTACGACATATTTGTGCAAAAGCGTAACAGAAATATTGCCCAGTCCAGCTTTATGACGCGCTGAATCGAAAGATATATACTCGAGGGCTACGCTCATAATAGGCTGAGGTCGACTACATAAATAGCAGAGAGGCAGCGTTTGCAATTTGATGGGCAACTCAAATTGAAATAAAACTCGTTTTTTAATTATACAAAAAAAAAAAAAAAGAAGAAGAAAATAAATAGAACAAAACAAAACAAGAAAAAAAGCATTCATTAAGCACGATCAAAGCACATTTAAACGTCAATTAGGGTCAGAAACGGGTGCTATAAAAGGTACACTGTAAAAAAACAACAACAACAACAACAACAGCAAGAACTGAAGAAATTAGCATAAAAACAATTGGAGTAGCCCACTCGAAATTCATGTAGCAAATTAGCAGCCAGCTGCTGGCGCTTTTAATTTAACGCCCAGTGACCGCGCTGTTTATTCAAACAACTAAAAAATTTATGGCCCATTCGCACAAAGGGCATTGGGAAATTTGCACAAAAGTTTTTCATTTTCACACTGAATGCAAATTCGCAGTGGATGCTTGCTGAATATATGTACATATAGAGGTGGAGGATGGCACGAGGTATTATATGGACTGCGGGCCTGATGTGTGCATGAGAAATCAGCTAAATTGTGAAAACAAAAAAGAAAAACAATCAGTTTTGAGCGAATTACACCACTGAAAGTGTAATTGCATAAAATATGAAATTAAAAAAATAAATAAAATAGAAAACATAAAACACAAAAGTGTTTATAAGAACTAAAGCGTTACGAGCTAAAATCAATTATCATAGTCAGCTTTATTTCATAACTGAAATCCATAATGAAGTTGATTGTTTTTTTATAGAAATCGAATCGTTTACAAAATATTAAGTCTTCATAGTGTTCATTTTCCAATACCATTATTATTTTAATATTATTTTTTTAGCGAAGTTGTTTAAATAACTTTAATGTGTTACTTGAATTTGTTTTGTTTTTTTATTCACTGTTCATCTGCCTTATTCCAGCGGCAACTATCAGGGTCTGGACGAGGCACGTAGTGCCAAAATGGACTCAGCCCTGGAGCGAGCGCTGGCACAGGCCGAAAGCGATGCCACCTTCAAGAAAGTGAAACGGATGAGCTACTCGAGCAACGCGGCGGGTGAAGTAAGTATAAGAAATAATATAAAAATAATATATATAATACATATATTTAGTAATTGCTGGTTCCACAATTATAATTTAAGAGCGGCTGCCCTTAGTGGACTTCCCTGTTTCAAAACTCCTTCAAAAACGAATTTATTGGCCCTCATATACATAAAGGACCGTCTTATATAAAGCTAGATAATTATTCAAAGATCTCTAAGCTTACTTGCACCAAACGCTCTCAAAGATCTGGGAGAAGAGTTACACTCGCTTATATAGAGTTTTTCCTGAACTACTTTATACAGCTGTCTGTAAAAATTCAATTACGAGGACTTTTATTCACTTTGTCTACAATATCTGTTGCATCTCTATACAGACAAGTATCACTAGACACGGCCAACACCCAATAAGGTTTTTCCATTGACAATTTCGCATTTGGTTTGCTAATTGCTCATGCTTCTGCTCTGGCTTCAACTCCTGCTAACTCTTTGCTCCTTTGCATATTTCTACAACACCTTCGACGCCGCAAATGTCGTCATCGTCGACGCCGTCGGAGCTACGTTGCATTTGAGGCTTCTGCGGTCGCTGTCTCGCAATTCCGACGTATTTTCGACCGTCGACGCCTCAACTATCCTGCGGCTAACCTGGCATGGCTTGGCAGCGCAATTTAATTGCTGCGCTCCTCGTCAAATGTTTGGTTCTCTGTAGATAAATATTATCTGACGCATTGAGTTTGTGTTTGAGCTGCAATCAAATTTCAAATATTCGAATTCAGCTTAAGTTTATTTAGTGACTCTGAGCTTAAGTTAGTTCCGTACGTAAACACGGACTCGTTTGCGCAATGCAACGCGCCGATTCCTGACGCGCCTGGCTCCTGGTCGAGCCCGAGTTCTTTTTTGTACTTTGCGCACCCGCTTCACCGTCTTGTTTTTCTTCCTCCTCCTCCTCCTCCTGACGCCGTTGTTGCCATTATTGATGGGTGCAGTCGCATCCTCATCGGCATCATATGCAACGTCATCATCAATCGCTGTCCCATCATCCTCCCCTGCCTCATCTGGGTAATTTGGATCGAGTGGCGCCAGTTCTTCAAGGCAGTCCGCATGCTGCTCATTGGCCAGATCATCGCAGTCGGTGCAGCCAGGTGGATCGTTTACGTCAATGCATGCTTCAGCATTGCCCTGGGGCAGGTTGGCCACAAGCAGGGCCAGCACTGCGAGGCTCAAAGTAATTTTTATAGCTCTCATCTGAGCTCTATTTGGGAGGGAATGAGATGTGCCAAGCTGAATTCTCGCCTTTTATAGCTTTCTCTAACTACCTTTGGTTGAGTACTTTGCAACAGTTTATTCAGCCGTTTGATCTGCTTGACTTAAATATTTATTATTATTATTTTCTTATTTTAATTTTTTATTTATTTTTTATTTACTGACTTTATTTCTATTTGGAGAAGATTTTTTGCTACAGTTGCTGAACTGTTCTTTTGACTATTTACACAGCTGTCATTGAAATCAACACACTTTGCTTGAGTTTAATAAGTACGCATTAGAAGTTTCCATTCACAATTCGAATCGAGACCCAAAATTTGTACTTATCATACACAAAATTAAATTCTGAATCGAATTCCGCAGTTTAATTAATTTGAAATTAGATTTCGTCTTTCAAAAAATTAAACTTGGCGTGCGTAATTAAATTTAGTTATAATATATTAAATATTCAATAATGTATTTTAATTTAATTTAATTAACTCGCCAAGTTTAATTTTTTGAAATTTAATTTCGAGATAGATGCTGTTATCACATTAACTTCGATTTAGTTGAATTTTTATTGAATTCAATCATCAATTATGAGTTTATATAATAAACAGGATATAATTCATAAAGAAAAAATATTTAAAAAATAAAATAAAATTCATGTCATCCATTTACAGCATTAAACAAATAAATTCAAGTCTGCTTGAAATTCCCAACCACATAAAATCAAATGCTACCACACTCTAATACAGTGTCATCGGACAATCAGCTTGAGATGCTGCTGTAAAACTGTGTCCGGTCTACAACAAACGACAGTTGTTATTTAAATACAAGCATAACAATTAGAATAACACTTAGTAACTGCTAATCGCCCTTGTCAAGTGGCTTGTTGAGCGCCGTGGGTAGCAGACCCTATATAAGGGCAGCTGACAGTAAATTACCCACAATTACGCGTTAAAGGGAGTGACTACAGTACAGTAAGCACTGACCTCAATCATTAGTTGCGCAGCGCGCGCCGGAATAGTTGAAAGTGAGAGCTGTCCGCAGAGACCAACAGCAGCTGGCAGGAGCTGGCAGGCGAGACACGCCAAGGACACGCCGAATATACAGCAAGCGGAGTCGTCATAAATCAAAGGGTAGCATACTGCGAACGAAAGGTCAGAGACGCGCAGTTGCGCCCTTGTCTCGGAGTAAAAACTGACTGCTTGTTTATTGCCGAGAATCGTGCAAGATTTATGGTTGTATTCAGATGAAGTCGTTGCGCCGCACAAAAACAAAAGACAACTGCACTGGAATCGAGCAAGTCCCACAAAAACTGTTGCCCAATGTGTACGAAAGACCATGCTGAAGCTCGTTTGGGTTTTCCTTTTCTTTTCCTTTCCTTGCTTTTCTTTGGCAGTATGGATGTGGCAAAGATTGTGAAGATTGAATGCGGAACATGCAGCTGGAGAATCCAACGACAATTGAAAAGAGTCGAAAGGTTTTTTGTGGGGTCGAAGTGGAGCAGTATTTATAGAGCTGAATCTATTTGAAGGTCTACAAGTGCTCAAAGTAATTGTCAAAGCAATCAAGAAGCAAATGCAATTTTAGTATTTTTTTTTTCTTTAATAGCTGCGACTATAAGGGAAGCTTTTATACTAAATCTATACCATGAGTATAGCAGTTGCTGTAATAAAAATATTTATATATATATATACATATACATATATATATTTACTAATATATTTTTCTAATAACTGCGAGGGATGGATACTGTGCGTATACGTAATTCATAATAACCCATTGTGTGTCTAGGAAATTCATGAGCTACCCTGAGCGAAGTAAATATAAATCAACAATTCCTTCTTTTGCAAGTGTACATGACTCACTAAGAAGTTCATTCAGTGCAATCTTATTTAAAATATTACGTATACGCCTAGTTAGCTGCATTTGAGTAAAGCCCAATTTTAAGCAGTTAGCAATCAACTTTTACACAGCGTTGAAACATGTAATGCATATCAACGTTAAATATTATGTTGTCATAATATATATCCATGAGCATTGCTGTTTACCAAACATTCTCTCTAATACATTCTCAAAGCAATTCCAATTAGAAATTCATGAATCGCAGCTTCTTATAAGAAAGTCAGAAATGAAAGATTATGCTTAGCCAAAGACTGTCTAGCCGACAACTTAATACGAAAGAAAACCGACCTTTTACCCCACTCACACAGCCCATTCCGCTTTGAAATACCTTTGCAATGCCTGCGGACACAGGAAGCCCATCAGTTAATACTAACAAAGAATATGATATAGACATTCGGTAGGCACACGTATTTAGCTTATCAACGTCAGTCAAAGGTAGGCATCATAGCCAGGCAGAAAAAAAATATAACTTTCGTAATATCCCGTTTATCTAACGGAAGAAAGTTCCAATTAAAAGTTGCTGCAAAGCAAAAGGCAACCAAGCGTCAATTGCCACAAATCAACTTTTACATTAATTCATTTTGAAAGAGATGAAAGAAATGAGAAAGATAGAGAGAGAGAGAGAGAGAGATGGATAGCGAAAATGGGAACGTCTAGAGCGCACTTGAGTGAGTGACAGACAAGACATGCTCCAAATATTTAAGGCCTCCGTCGAAGCCGAGTGCAAAACAAACTTGATAGCTGTGAGAAGGAGCAGGAGGAGGCGGATGAGTAGCAAGGGGGAGAGGGTGCGACAGGGTTTTATGCTGTGAGCGGCTTGTAATCTATTTAAAGTGAGTCGCGGCCACTAAAACTCAATTAACCCCCTTTGCTTTGAGCACAGGGAAAGGCTGACAGAAGAAGAGAGAAAGAAATAGAAATAGAAACACAGAAAGGGAGAGAGAGAGAGAGGGAGAGACAAAGCAAAACGTACAAATCAAGGCAAAAGATTACAAACGGAAATGGCTGGCCATTGAGTGGGATAGAGGGAGGTGTGGGGTAGGACACAGATAGATGCATGTGGGCGTGGCTGGCAAGAAGAAGAATTTTTTCACTTAAAACCGCATTGATACTCAATTACCAGCGAACGGGTTGCCAGGTCGATGGGTCGACGGGTCGATGGGTCGACGGGCTGCCACTCGAACTTGAGGGCAGCAGCAACAGCAGAAAACAAACATCGGATGTTGAGCACAGGAAAGCGGAAGCACTTTGCAACGGAAATGAAACATCAATTAAAGTCGCGCATTGCTCGACCGGGCCAGGCACTGGGCCAGCCCCGGGTCGATGCCAAAAACAGAAAAAAAAGAAAACACAACAATATATTGCTTTTCGTCCAAACGCCAGCATTGTTAATCCTTGCGGCTGCCCAGCGAATGGACTTGGGCACGACGTGCCCCGGCAGCGGGTGTGCTGCTCTGAATGCTACCCTCTTGTCTGTCCAGAGTCGCAGGCAAATCTCGCAGTGCCAAAGGCCCTCAGATTGCGGCTTAATTGGGAATTCGTTTGAGGCAAGCGCGAATGGGGCGTGCAGTCGGATTCATAATTGATCAGAATTGCATCTTTTGTTGCGCTTCTTCAAGTATATGATGCAGCTATCGATATTTGATATTAATCGTTGTCGATAATAAATAATTATAGATGGGTATAGATTAAACGATGAAGAAATATTTGATTGTTTCCTTGACATTGATAGGCTTTATGAATGAACTGGAAGTAAACTAAAAATACTCCAATACTCCAACTACTCATATGATATATTATTTAAATATTTGTATATCAATATCAATTTAATCCATTCAAATTTTCGTATATAAATTCTTTCTATACTATTTTATATAATTTTTCATTTCACATTTCCATTTCCCTTCCAGCTAACTGAACGCTTGGCCAAAATAGCCGGACTAAATAAGCGCCATGTGGACGATTCGCTGCACACGAACCCAAGCAGCCTGGCCGGCAGTCGCATGAACTCCATACGCAACTCCCAGCTGAAGGTCGATCTGAAGGTGCTGGACAAGCTGGTGACCAACCTACTGCAGCAGCATGCGGCTGGCGCTGGCCGCGAGACGAGCTCCAGTGGCAACTTGGAGGCGGGCAGCCGCACGCCGCCCGCCCAGCGCTCGCCTTCCAAGAAGTTCAACCGCTGGCGTCCGCTGTCGCGGTCGGTGCACAGCTTCAAGCGCGGCGACAACCGAGACTATGCTGGTGGCAACTTCACCCAGCTGCAGGAGCGCAGCGAAGCACAGGCGCCGCTGGCCCACAACATGCCCACGATCATGGAGAGCAGCGCGGGCAGCCCGACGCCCACGTCCACGCCCAACAACAACGCCCAGCCGCAGGCCCAGAGCCCGTGGACGGCCTCGCTGGAGCGCACGCCGGGCGCCGTTCGCAATATGCTGCACAACATCAGCCAGGCTCGCAACAGCGGCGTCCAGGAGGATCAGCTCAATCTGACACAGAACTATGTGGGCTAACCGAAGAGATCTAGATGAATATATATGATATGCATATATTTATATTGTTGAAATCAATAAATAATATTTTATTAGAGCTTTATGAATTGGAAAGGGTTGCATTAAAATCATTTTCAGTTTTGCTTTCGGGTTTTCGGATTAAGCAAAATTAAGCAAACATTTTAAGTATGCAAGGACTCTGCTGGTTAAGCACATAGACAATGTTCAGTGTGGATGTGTGCATGTGTATGTGAATGCAAAGTCACTTAATGAGGGAGCCCATAACGAAGCTCTTTCAATGCAAATCGCTCACACGAAGACGGAAACGAATAAAATACGAATGCTCATGCTCAGGGCGAGAGCTCTTTTTCGTTTTATATCGGAAGTAGAGCGAGTGCGTTTAAAGCCTTAACAGCTATTTGTTAGCTATGATAAATAATGAATTTCCACAGTGATGAATTCCAACAATAAATAATTTGGCATACAAAATCATTTTTTGGGATATCTGGGAGTTATCTCTCGCTTGCATAGTTGAGAAATTCTGTAAATCAAGCATGTGAGGCAATTCCTCATATTTGCAGCTCATTACAAAACTATAAAGTAAAGACTTTGCTCTTTATATTTGAATTCTTGACAATTTTTGTATGATTAAGTTCAAATGAAAACGTTTTTATTCTTATATGTTGACAAATCAGACAAAATCAGTTTTACTACACTTTTTATGCCCCTATTTATATACGGGACATCCAATATGCATTTTCAATTATATTTTCCCCAGCCGAGTATGTATACCAAATATCAAGGGTCTGACAATTTAATTAAAAAGTATTACTGCAATGTAAAATAGTTGTTTCTTAATATAAAATTCTACACTCAACTCTAATGAAAAGTCATGAAAAAAAAAACCACAATATTTGTTATTTATCCCTTAATGAACGAGTATAAAATAACAATAATTATGCAGAGTATAATTACAATAATAAAGGCCGTATCATGCTCGCCTTCGTCAGCATTTGATATATTTCTTGCTGCTTTTTTGTGAATTTATTAAATTATGTTAAATTAATGCAATTATTACATTGCGATGAGTGGGCATATATTCCTCTCTCCCTCTCCCACTTTATCTCTCTTTAATTAGCGCCCACTCACTACTTACTAAATGACACTCGCTATTTATTTTGCCATTTTTTTTTTACACTCCATTAGAATATGCAGAGGCCGGCCAATTTGATCGTCATCAATGTGGGGGCGACAACCGCAGCAGCCAGCAGACAACTTGAAACGGCTTCATTATAGTCGCCCCAAAGCGCCAGCCACAGCGGTATTGAGTGCCAGTCGGGCCAGGGAGGGGGTCGGGCAGTGCTTGTAGCTGCTCTCTGATGATGACAGGCTGCAAACGCCAACACAAAAATCATCATCACTCAGAGTTGAGTGTGACTCGCGCCATGCCGTCTCCTGCTCATCCTCCGCCACCAATTTCAGCCGCCACATTCCCATCAAAATATTAACTGCTGTAGTCCAGTCAGTTGACATGCCTCGACGCTGCCACTTGCCTCTTGCCACTTGCCACTTGCCTATTGCCTCTTGTGGTGTCAACATCAACTTTAGGGCCTGTCACACGCTAGCCATTAAAAAACTGTTAAAACTGTTGGCCTAAGTCAACGAAAAGTGAAAACAGATAACTGAAGTCTGATATGAAGCAGCTCGATATATTACGTTACTTGAAAGTACGCTAATCATGTACAGCTAATTAGATATAAAATCATTTATTTCATATCCTGAGCTTTTATTAAGTTTTCTATAAATTTAATTAAATATTTCGAGCTCATGCTACTTGATGAAATTAATTATCAATCAGATAATTCAAGTAAAGTTCCTATGCAACTATTAAACAGATATGGTATAAATAAATTCTAATAAAATATACAAGTATTAATGTATATGTTTTTATGTAATTTAAAAAAGTAATTATAATTTATTAATAAATTTACAATTTAAAAATATTATTTTTTGTAATTTTTGTAATTTATTTGATTAATTTATATATATTATTCAAATCAATATTTCCCAAATCTGTTTATTAGCTGTCTGCGAAATAAATAGCATAAATAAAACGAGCAACATCGATTCTTCTCATATATAAATTAAATTTTTACACTGCTGACTTTACGAGAGTAAGCGAGTATTTCGAGATTTCGTCGCTATTTAATTTAGAGAACTTGAAATATTTTACGAAGCTTACAAGTAAAATAATTTTGTTATTGTCTATATATATATATATATATTTATGCGCTTTTCTGGGATGGTTTATTGAATATATATACCTAATAATTTACAAAGTGTAGTAGACTTGCCTCAGAAATTTTACAATTACGCAGTGAGAGATAGATTCTCGAATCTAGACTAGACTCTCTATTCGAGACAGCTCCTTATACAAACATTATTTATAGATTTTTTTTATATAAATAAATATTATATTCTCTCCCAAAATTATTTGTTTTTTTTTTTTTTTCAATATAACTTAATTTATTTTAGTAGAATAAACTAAAATAAAAGTTATTCGCTAATCGCGTGAGAGCTAATGCGAGTGAAAGACCAAGTGCACAGACAGCGTAACATATCGCTTCATGTGGGTCACGTAGCTATCGGCAGTTGGTGTATGCCACGAGTAAAAGAAAGCGAATGAGTGAGCAGGTATGGCAGCGAGAGAGGGAGAGAGAGAGGGGGCGATCGTCTGGGCGAGAGTGCCCTCTCACTCGGAGCGCCTGTCTGGGCTGGTTAAGTGTTACAAGTATCCTAATCTAATTCTTAAAGTGCTTTCCATTATATGTACGAATGCTTTTATCACCCACTCACCTGTCGCTCCATGACGCCGGCTAGCTGTTCGCGCTCCGCATTGCGATAGTATCCGGTCAGATTGGCGCCCAGTCGCATGGTCACCTCGTACCGGGTCTTGCCGCTACGTGCTGCATTGCGATTGCCTCGCGCGTTCAAAATGCTCAAGCTGGTGCTAGAGGCGCCATTGTTGTTGTTGTTGTTGCTGTTGCTGTTGTAGTTGTTGCCGTTGTCAAATTCGCATGCACGATGGCAATTACTAACGCTGGCATTTCCAATGCAACCTGAAAGCACAAAATAAAATGTGAGAAAAAATTCGCTTCTGAATGAAGCCAAACTCAAGGCCTCGAGAGGCAAATGCCGAACGCTTTAAAACTTTTGATTGAATTCAAGCTAGCTGGAATAATTTAATAATGTCCAGTCATAGCCACACAAAGAACTAGAGGCAGACCCTTCCTGGAAATGCAATAAGAGACATTACAGCGCACGAGAAATGCGAGAAATGTTTACGCCAAGTGCCAAACACCCACCGAGATAAACTCCCCATCAGCTGCAATCCTCCCCCTCCCCCAGCCTGACTCCGCCCGCATTGCCAATGCATTTCCCACCTGACCCGCGCTGAGCTGCGCAAAACCGAATGTCAAATTCGATGACGTTGTCATACCGAAGACACGTTGCCAGGGGAACGCCAAGCCAACAGATGGATTTCTGTTCCGCCCTGACATGTGCAAAGCGAGTGGAATAGTTGCTGTGTCAAAATATGAAGAACTATAAATTATTTATGCACCCTGCAGAGGAATGTAAGCAGGGGTCTATGGAGTAGATATTAAATATAGGATTTTCTTAGACTGGATATTACATAAAATCGTTTCATTTCTTGCACACCAGTTGAACCGCCTCGCAGTTGGCAAATAATATGAAATTTTTCACATTCCTCTACGCAACACGATTTGCATGTTTCTTTAAATTTTAACAGCAGTTTATGCAAAACTCTCTACGTAATTTAATATACGTCAATCGCTATGGCAGAAATGTTGCCCAGCTGCAAAACTAATTCAACAATGGGGCGTGGCAACGCAAACAGAGAACCCATCAAGTCAGACTGAATAGCCGATGCTCTTCCCATCCACTGCTCAAAGTGTTGGCTTGTGGGTTGTGGTTCGAAGATGGAGGAAGGGAGGGAGGGTCGTGTGCCCCAAACTGCGACCTGCGACCCTCAGGCTCTTTTCCACCACTTGAAATGAATGTTTCGTTTCGTTAAATGTTGCATCGACTGCAATTTAAATGCTTAATTATTGCCTTAATTAAATTTCCTCCACTCCTGCTTCGTTTTTAATTTGTTGCAATCTTTTCATTCCCTCGCTCCTGCTCTTGCTCCTTCTCCTTCTCCTGCTGTCGCTCTTGGTGCTCCTTTTGGTATTCTTGATTTAACGAAATATTTTTGTTTTTCCTGCCACACACGCTCAATTACTTATTGCTTGTGACGCCTGATTAAACTTGATTCACTTTCTGGGGAACGGGGCTCTACTCACCCTGCGTCGCCTCCACTATTTCGGGTATTTCGCATTTGGTTCCCTTGTAGCCACTGGGACAGTGACATGTTATAGCCGCATCGCCAATGTGCCTGCAATTCAAAAGAAACTCATCAGATCTCTACATTTAAATATTTGTAATATTATAAGAAGGGATTTTGATGAGGCTTAAAGTATCTGAAGAAATCGTAATCGAATAATACTTAAAAATATGAAAAGAATTATACAAAAATAATAAAAAAAAAAAATGTAGTATCAGAAATAGGTGTAATAAAAATAAAATAAAATATTGAATATATAAAAATAAAATAAAATTGAATGCAAAGTAGTGGATATTTAAATAAAACGTTTATAAACAACTGTTTTGAATCAAATAGTAAGGTAATAGTACTGAAAAGCTAAAACCCTAAACTCTTCCCAGTTCGCCTCCTCTAAAAACAAATAAATGTTATTGATGTCTATTATTTGATTTTCAATATAACATATGCATTTATTTTATAATTTATTTCAACTATCTCCATATTAAATTTTATACATATTTGAAGTGTGTTCAAAATCATTTATGTCTGCTCAAAGCAGACCACGTTCAAAACAATTGTGCAAATAAACTTAATTGAGTCCCACTTCAAAAATGTTATTAAAAGCTTTGACGTTGAGTGAGTTTAGTTAGTGAACTAGACATTGCCACGCAAAATCCAAAACGAAATAGAATTTTAAACTTAATTTTAGCTTATGCTGGAATATGTACAATTGGAAATTATAGTATTAATTCATATGCAATAATAAAATATAAGGTATTTTGGCTTGGTTTTCTTAATAAAAAATAATAATAATAAAATATTTAAACGAAATTAAATTAATTATGTTATATTTATAGGGAAAAAAGTGTACTTGTCAAACTAAATAATATAATATAATATAATATAATATAATATAATATAATATAATATAATAT